AATAATACGAAAAGTAAAGGTCAACCCAAAAATATCTTCAACCCAAATTGCAGATGAGGTTAAGTGAGAGTTTGGCAAGGAAATTCATCCCATAACGGTCAAGAGGACACTGCAAGAGGCTAGTTACAACTACTGTGTCGCTGTGCCCTCCTGGCTACGCCCATGTATGTATGTTAAACTATAAAACATAATTTATTATTAAATAACATGATGTGTATTACTTATACTTTATGATATCGTTGCTGCTATAAGGCATCTTATAAAAACATCTTCGCTACCAAGTATATTAATAGCATTTATCTAACAACTATGGTGGCGCTACTGCTGGTGCTTACTCGTGTCATAGTAGCCGATTTTAAATCAAATTTAATCAAATTTAAAATAATTTAAAAAAACGAATGCATTATATGCACTCAAAGCCAGTCATATATTTTAAACAAAGAGAGCATCATGCATCACCTTCTAAAATATTGCCTCACCAAACCTTTGCATTGTTATAAGCTTTAAAAAATTTAAAATTTAAATTTAAATTTAATTAAAATTATGTATGAAATTTTTACAAAACAAATTTAATAAACGAAGTAACTTTACTTTGCCTTTTTCGTTCTCGAACGAAAAAGTTTTTGAAAAGTTTTAGAAGTTTTAAATACAATTATTCCAATATCGTAAAAAAATTACGGTATTAAGACATTTGCTGTCGCAGTGAAAGATACCCATCACTACAAACGATATTTTATATTAATATTTTATATTAATCGATGACATAGAATTTGTGCAGTGGCTCTCGAACTGTAGAAAAATCAAGTATACCAGTTTTTACTGGGAAAGGATGCATATCTGTTGTGTTGAGGTGTTCTTTCAAATCACTTTATTTTATTGAATTAAATCGTATTTGAGCGAAAAAACCTGTCGGCCTGAGCAGTACTTCGTATTGCAATTTTTCTTATGCACTGAATTAGTTTTTATCCTACAATTGTAAATATAAGAATGCGGTATTAGTTACACAATACCATACCATAACATATTAGGGCCGTACTCTATATCAGGCGCAGACAAATACAGTAGAACAATGTTACTAAATTGCTTGCATTTCTGTAAAATGTGTAATCTTATATTACTTATGCCTAACTGTTTGTTTTTCATTACTTTGTTTTTTGTTACGAATTTGTCTATTGTAATTATATGCCAACTGTGTTGACTACAGTTCTAAGTATTTTGGATTAGATTTTGGATAGCATTTCTATGATTGGAATATTAGACTTGTTAGTTCTACTCTAAATCTCAAGCCCATGTCTCGAGATTGGCGCAATACATACTTTGTAGATTAATAATTTGATTCCTAATTACTTTTTTTCAAAATATAGCAGACCATTGGAATAACGGAAAATATAATGTGAGGCGTTTTCGATATTTTGAATTATTCGTTCTACCCAAAATTGTCTTTTTTTTAAAGCTTAAAAAAAATTTGTAAACATATAAATTACAGTAGTTCGCATAACAACCTGTAAGTTTTTTTTTTAAATTTCAAATTATAATTACGTTTAAGTAATTATAAATTATTTTTCGTCACCTCTAGAAAAAAATTCCTGATCAGATTTCTTGTTTTGCTTACTGATCCTAATTCTTCTTGCTTCTTTGGCTGAGCTAACGGAATATCGTCATCCTCATCAAATTCTTGATTTCGTACTAAAATTTTTTTCATGACTTTTTTTTTTGATGCCAGTTCACACTCGAGCTAGAGATACTTCGCTAGTGATACTACTACAGATTCTGGTGCACGCGTAAGAAATGTAGACAATAACTTATTCTGGTAATCCATTTGAAAAACTTTAATCGGATTTTGGTCCATTTGCTGAATTAAACATTAGTCCATACATATTTCTCCATCATGATTTTTTTTTACAAGTTTGTTCGCTGGAGGATGACGAGCATCATTATTGAGTATCAGAAGAGGCTGGTTTAGGAGTACATATTCTCCCGGACTTATATGAACTGTACTCATCCATGCTGTCAGCGAATTTCGAAAACATCTTAAATTTCGTGATTTACCTATTATTATTATTATTTATTATTGATTCGAAGATTTGAAATCAATTAATTTTTTTTATGAATGCATAAAAGTTTATTTGGGTAGCATTTTTCAATACGAGTATAACATATATTTACTTTATCAGCATTAAATAATATATCATCGGATATATATTAATTTCTTATTATAATTGATCTACCAAATCATTTTCTGCAGAATTTTTTTACCCGATTGAACAAGAGTAAGACGAAACCCGTACTTCTTATTAAATTTTGTGAGCTAACCTTTACTAGCATAGAATAATCCACATTGATATTTTTCATGAAATTACTTAGCTTTAGCTTTTAACATCCCACCACTTAAAAGGAAAGGAATATGTTCCTTACAATGCATCAAAAAACATTTATAATTTAGTTTATTTCCAGTTTACGATGTTTTCCATGTCTAATTGGACATCGCAATTTCTAAAATTCTTTTTCTTTTTTTTTCATATATTTTTTGTGACTTGATAGTTTGTGACTTGTTAAGGGTCTGTTGTGCTATCATCCTATCAACAGCTTTAGTGACATCTAAGTAGACCGCTATAGTATACATTTTGGTTTCTATGCTCATTTACTACTCTATGTACCTGTTGAATTGTGGAATATTGCTTTCTAAATCCAAACTGTAGGTCAGAAATAAGAGTGAATTTTTGATGGATTGAATTCTAACGAATAAAAAAGATTTTATTAAAAACTTTAGAGTCACGGATGGTTTTCATGCGTCTGTGGATATTGCTGAACATTGCTGGACTTAATGTTCCTCACCGAACTATACACCGGTATCCTCTTTTTATAAGGTGTTTTTTTTATCATATTCTTAA